TGCTGCATCAAATTTTTCAGGTTTTATTATGTAAACAAATTCTTAATAACATTGATAATTTGTTTAGAAAAATACTTATGTCTCTGCATGACCAAAACTTTTAAGTGTAACTAACAATTTCAATTTCGTTTTTTTTTTCACAGGCAGGACTTCTGGAGAAGATTCCTACAATAGACATTTTGGAGAAATATGCAGAAACAGTTCTTCAGAGAAATATTGAGAGCTTATATGCTTGTGGAGGTGGAGATCTATATAATGCCAATTTTGTTTATATAATTTTTGTGGCTTACTTTTTAACGGACCTGTGAAGCCATTAGATCTTTTCTTAGTTCACTGGCCACATTCTGCTAAAATGTTGCTTAGTATTTTAATTTCTTTTCAGTTCCTTAGGATTTTGATGATCATGCAAACTCTGAACCCTTCGGATTTTCTTCTTCTTCTTTTGGTATTTTTCTTGTTATTTTGTTTTTGCAGTCGATGAAAAGGATGTGCACAAAGCGTTGATTGAGGCTATTCCGAGGTTACTAAATTGGATGACTGTTTTCAAAGGTTCACAGGTGTGCTGATATTGTCGGATTGTGTGGCCAAATCTTCTATCCTTTAGTAAATAAATAGATGGCTTTTACCTTCCTTTTCTGGATATGGTTTGTACCACCACCTACCTATACATCAAGGATTATGTTGCATTGTGTAATTCTGGCCCATCCATGGTGAAGTGTTGCTGGTTTTTATGCATATAGTTAATGCTTTGGTGGCTGTGCCATTTTATTAAACACTCAATGTCTGAGATAAAACTTGCATCATCCTTTGACCACAAATGGAGTTACATCTAGAAGACCTTATTTGGTTCTCTATAGAAGTCATGGGTGCCATTTGTTTGACCTGATCAAGAAAAAAAAAGTATGTTATCCATATTCTCCATTGATACGATATGCTGTTTTTTCTATTCATTCTTTTCAGAATCAGTCGTGGTCTTACAAACTCTGCCATTGATATGGATGAATCTTTCGCTTCATACAAATGTGTAAAAGATGCTAGTTGCACTTAAAATCCGAGTACTCTACCATTGAGTTAGCAACCCGAAGAAAATAATTAGAATGTGTAGATACAATCAGAATATTCGAAGAAAATATCACGATACAATAAAAAAAAAAGCAAAAGTACTTGTGTAGCATTTATTTTTTGGAGCTATAGCTGGTGCTTTTCTACTGCTGCATGACTTAGGAAGAAAATAGCAAAATTTTAAGTTAAATTAAGTGAAGAAATTATTGTGTTTGAGTTGGTTTCTGAACTTAAGCAGAAGTAAGACAGACAAGCTAAAGGAGCCTATATAATTATCTATTTGACCCATTCTATTTTTGATGGAGCAAGGTAATCCCTTCCTTCTCCATTCTAACTTTGTTTCACATGAATTTTATGGTTCTTAAGGCATGGTATACCACCTTTATACATGTTACAGATGGATTTATATCTATTTAACTTGCACATGCCTGTTTTGCCCCCAGATCTGATGGATTGCCATTATATGCTTAATAGGTCAACTGAAATTGTTTATTCATTATGTTTAACAATTTAAAGGCGTTGGCAGGACTCAAATCGACTCACCGTTGATTTTGGACATGATGGTGGACTGAAAAAAGCTAATCTATCTGAGGTTAGGGCCTTGGCTTGTTCATATACAATTTCTATTTAATTTAGAGCTTCTTATTGATAGACTGCTTATTGATATGGGTTTCTTGAAGATAAGAATTTGTTCATAATGCTTAATGTTAGAAAGTGTATATTAAGTAAGGTAAAGGGTATGTTAGTAATATGCTAATCTCTTTGTATTAAGTGCAATTCCTTTTATTACTCATATGAAACTGTATATACAGGGTTCTAATATTCGATAAAATACATACTTTCATTCTCTTCATGGTATAGAGTTAGGTTAAAAAAATTCTACGTTCCTTCACAAATCCTATTTGACCTTCATTGCCAAAATAAGAAAAACTCTAAAAGGGGTCAACGTTCAAAACTGACCACTACACCAGCCAACATCACCATTGATCTTCATAGTCGGAAAACAACGAACCAGCTGCCTCAGTAGCTGTGTGATCCACAACCAGTTGTGCTGCCAGACAGTGTCGCTGCCCTCTGCTGCCCCAGCCCTAACCAGCGCTTTTAGTAATGCAGTCAGCTCCAGTAGGTGCACTCCAGCTGCTCAGAGCCTCAGCTCTAGCGGCCACCTTCTGTTCAGTGGCAAACGACCAGTTGTAAACACCTCTGTCCGACATTTCACCCAATCCAGCTGCGCACCTGCCCTTCTGTGTGCTGCTAACAGTTGCTTAGCCTCCACAAGCCGCACTTGTCTCCTATGCACATCCCATAGTTGCATCGGATCTCTCGTGTTTACTCCTCAACTGCGAACAACTTGGAAGTTCTGTTTTAACCCGGTAATCCTTATTTTTTGCTTAGTTAATCAGCCTTAATTGATATGAAAATTGTCAATTATGTTGGATTTATGTCCTAAATTACTGACATTCTCACATGGAAAATTTACTACAAATCAATAGTGGATTTTAACTAATCCAGACTGCCTATGGCTTTAATAGTAAGAACTATTTGAATTTGTTTTTATTTACAAAAAAACTATTTGAATTGGTCTCAACTGATTCAGACCATTCTAAAAGGAAAAGGAAAAATCATTTATCTTCTGAGCACCAGACCAGAATCAGGACAGCCAAATTTTGATGCATGGGATGAAGAGAATTCAAATGCCTTTCCATTTCCAGGATACCAAAGATTAATAATATTGATATGTTCCTACCTACTGCAAAAGAGATTTGTGATTCAATCAGAGAAACCTTTTCGAAGGTGAAGGATGCGACCCAGATATACGATCTGATTGTAAAAGCTTGGTTAGCTAAAAAAGAAATCAAATCAGTCACAAAATTTGCCAAGTTTCTGAAGAATTGGTGGGGGGAGCTTGATCAGTATCACAGTCTGAATATGAAGTGCAGTAAAGATGCAACAACTTCGAAAAGGATGATTGAAAACGATAGAGCGTATCAATTCGTGGTAGGACTTAGCAAAAAGTATAATCAGGTGAGAAATCAGATCCTGGGAAAAAAGAGACGTTATTTCTTAATGAGGTAATATCTCTTGTTCGTGCAGAAGAAAATATGAGAGGAATTATGCTTGAACCCCATAGTATTGGTAGCTCGGCAATAGCGACTATAGGCTCTAAACCATGCCTAATAGGGAAGGAGTCAAGTCACAATGAGAATTTTAGCTACTAAGGGATAAAACATGGGCGATTTTTGGTATACCTTTTACAAGAAACCTAGGCACATTAAAGAGAAGTCTTGAAAGATTCATAAAAAGCCTACCAACTCTAGCAAGGATTGAGGATAGAAGGAGAATTGGAGAAATAAGCATATGGTCCATCCACAGGAAGAAGAAAAGATTACAGACCTCAATGATTTCAATGTAGAAATTGAACAGCTGAAGACATGACTTCAACATCATGAAAAGCTTAAAGGTATATGTCTCTTAACGCATTTAGGTACTCTTCCAATTTTCTATGATTTAGATGCCTTGGATAAATCTTTTAAACTATCATGGATTGTGGACTCATGAGCTACCAGCTACATGATTGACACCTCTAAATTTTTTAACGTCTACGCTCTATGTCCCAATAATAAAAAAATCGTCATTATTGGTGGTTTACTAACCACAATAGTAGGAATTGGAAACATAAAACTCAATCCTTACTCTACTCATATTGATGTACTTCAGGTCTATAATTATGCACAAATCTCATATCAGTAACCAAATTATTCTATGGCCTAATTAAAAAATGATTTTTCCTCTTTTCTTTGTGAATTTCATGACCAGAATTTGGGAAAAATGATTGGACGTGTTGAGGTTCTAGATGAGTTATACTTCCTAGATACAGATAGAATACCACATACCATTCTCTCTACCAACTCATTAGATAAGTTATGACTTTATCACAAAGACTAAGACAAGTTAGAAAATTTACACTGCGATGTATGTGAACTAGTAAAACACCAACATGAAATCTTTTTCCCTGGTAATGAAAGAAACACTTTATTTTTTAAATTCATTCATATTGATATTTAGAGTCTCCTAAATATCTATAATGTTTTTGGGGTTCAATGATTTATTTCATAGATGACGTTCTTATCTTCTGCCACCCGTAGGAGACAGCATTGCTTCATTTCGGT